TAAGTAAATAGGCTTTGATGAAACGTTAAGTCCTGCACCTGCCAATCGTACTGTACAATCTTTTACCTTGCCCATGATCTCAGAAAAGTTGTTGACTCTGATCTCAGGTACACCTTCACATCGAATAGTAGCATACTCTTTCTCATTCAATCGAATATTTTTCATGCGTAATTCGAGTGGACATCGAGTGCAAATATTTTGTGCTCGTGGCAATTGGACCCCACTTAGTGCTTCGAGAACAGACGATTTACCTACCTTAGGATGTGTCAAAGATGAGATTGATATTGTAATCAATATGTCATTTTACTTACTGATTGATCGCCAACAACAACAATATGAGGAAGAGAAATTTTCTCATAATGTAATATTTCTCTCATGTCATCAACGATCTTGAGAAGACGACGAGATTCTGCAGTGTTTAGCTCATCAGTGAGCATGTTTAAATCGATATTGTGTGCACGGTTAAGGTTTGTCAGAAGTAATGTTTTAATTTTTGTGGCACTCTAGATTTTTCTTTTGCTTTGATGTCTGCTATAAGAACAAAACATCTGTATTTATATAATTTTTCTTTGTTTTCATTGCTTTCAAATTTTGACTTTCGATTGAGTAAGTCATATTGCCGTCTGTTTTTCTTTCCTGAAGTGTAATGTTTTTGTTTCATACTTCACGCAAAACATAGTTATCGGATTCCTATGTTTTGATCGACTGTCTAAGAACAATGATGAGAAAAACAAGAATTTTATTTAAAAGTAACAAAAAAAAATAATTGAACTGTTGCTAGAGTAAATCAACAATTGAATATAACAAAAAGAACACGTCATACTTTTTCAAATGTTCTGATTGTGAATGTCCTCCAGCTATATGGTATTCACTATCAAGTCTCATTTTTTGTATCATCTAGATGAACATAATTATTGTGACGTGATACACCTTTTATATTCCATACAGTCGATGAGGGAGTGTGGGTGTCACACCCTGCATTGGTGCTCACACCCACACCCACGTCCCTCAAGATTAGTGATGGCATAAACTACTCTTTTCATCGATCTCTCACCATCTTTGATTAATCAATTGTCCATAGCAACGCATCGTTTGTCTTTTAGTATATTCTTAATAACATCTGCGGCAGCTGCTGTGCTTGGAGATTCTACTGAAGAACAGAGAAAGTCGAAAATTGCATTACAACATGTTTTGTATTGCTGATAAAGAAGATAAGATAAGATAAACTCTCGCTTCTAAGTTCCCCTATCAAATAGTTGTATATGAATTGCACCAAATTTTTGTGGTGCACATCGATCGATTGTCGTAAATATTCGATTTTAAGTCAAAATATTTCTCTAATAGGTTGAATTAACAGAGAATATCGTTTTGAAACAAATATTTTTTAAAGAAAAGTAACTAAAAATAAAAGATGATTGTCTGATCACAGAGACGATTGTACAGCATGCAAAAAGTAGCATGACGTTTGAGCATCCTTGACAGTTCAGCTTCCAAGAATAGAGTTTCTTAGATGTGACCCTGAAACGATTATTAATGCAAGAAAATGATTGTGTTTAAAAAGCTTATTAGAATAGAAGAAAGTAAATCACTAGTTGTCTCAAGTCGTGCCGGAACTACTGAAGATCCGATAATGAGGTAACGAGTAGACGAATTGAGGTAGACAGTAACGGTGACAGTGAACATAAAGATGAGGACAATGATGAAGAGAGAATTTGAGGATAAGAATGAGAGGAGGATCAAAAAAAGGTAACGGAATGAGTTAACTATTTACTTGGTCACCTTGTCTTTGACGGTTTCGGTACGAGTTGAGGCAACTAATGGTTTAGTTCCTGGTTGCTTAATCAAATTTTTAAATATAATATTTTTTTTGCAGCTCACATGTCGAGGTCTCCATGGAGAGAGGTCAACTGTCAATATAACATGGTTACATATTGTGGATTCCGAGCAAAACTTATCGAAAATCAATATTAAAATGTGTTTATGTTAGCAGCTGCCTATCAAATAACTGAACTCAATTATATAAAATATTAATGTAAAATAGTTCATTTTAATATAAAATAGGAATAAAGCAAATTAATAATATTATTAAAAAGTAATATATAGATTTTATGCTTTTAAATTATATTTACTCTCCAAGGATTGTTTTCGTATAAAAACAAAAATCAAGAAACACTCAAGCTGGTTTTTCCAGCATACGCTCGATTCATGGTGTCTATAGAAAAATAAAGCAAATATTTATGTGTTTTGTTACCTCTATTTTGATGGTTGCCTCGTGATAGGCATGTTATTTTGAAAGAGATTGTTTTTATCGTTCTGTTGTATTGCTTGGAAAAAACCAAGCGAATTGCTTTCATTCGCATTACAGCAAAGGTCGTCGAAGCCCAACCGAGGTATGCGTTTTTGATAAGAACGCAATTAACAAACTATTTATTTTCTTGCGAAACTATTCTCTGATATATCAATATGTATTCAACAATCCTATTCAGTTTTTTTTTATTAGATCAATTCTAAATTCTATACTTACGAAGAAAGGTCTCTAATTGATTAACGCTCTTTTTATTGATATTTTGTCGATATGTTGATACAATGAGACTAGAAACAACCTAATAGGATAATGGGTGTGGATGTGGGTGTGATTCTTTGCTTCATCAACACCCAAATCAAATAACGGAATTTCGATCTGACATTTTGTTAACATTGATGTCTAGTGACTCGTATATTAGCCTAAAAATTTCAACCAAAACAAATGCTTCTTTCTCGAAATATTCCATTCTCAAGAAAATATTATCGTGCTACACACATGTCAACAAAATCGACTTTTATCGAAACTCAATATTCCGAAAAACAAGGATTTGTTTTGACTGAAACTTTTTCAGCTAATATACAAGTCATAAGACCTGAGTGTGAATAAAATGTCAAATCGAAATTCGATTATTTGATTTTTTACGAAATCCCTTGTCATAGGTGGTAAACACAGTTAAATGATCATAACTTGAAAAAGAATGCCTATCAGCCATTATCTTGTTAGGCTTTTTCTAGTGTCTCATCGAAACCTACATATAGACAAAATATCAACAAAAACGGTATGGATCAGTTGGAGACCTTTCCTCATTAGATCTATATAATGTGAAAGAAAAAATACGCTGACTGTTGAAAACATATCTATGAATTTTGACATATTATATATCTAATGTTAGTAACAAATAATAACAGATCAATGATGAAAAAGTCAGTTTTATGTAGCGATTCAAACAAGGACTATTCATTCAAATTCTGTTTTAATCCTCGTTGAGCTCCTTATAACACTATAATGAGTATTTTTGAGAACTTATCATATTTTAGGAAAGCCAAACTGTTTCGAAACGAGAGCACAAATGGCAAGTACCTCGTATCTGAGTCAAGAACACAAGTCAAATGATGGCCGGTCTTCGGTTGGTAAGAAAATAAATGAGACGTCTTCAAAATATCGAACGATTATTTGTGGATATTTTAAAGACTAACAATAACCTCGAAAGACGCTTTTTTACATATATCTCTGGTTGAACTCAAATAGAGTGCATCGACTACATTAGAAATAGCTTTGGTGAAATTCGGGAAGAATCATATTGGTAAAAGCAGAAGTAAAACTTCTAAGTTTATTGTTTGTTACTTTCACTATGATAGAGGGCAATTAACCTAAAAACAATACGATCATGTTAGAGAACATCCATCTAGAAACATAATTTATTGCAATATGAGAAATGCTAGTTTAGCTCTCATTTGAGAGGTATTTCAAGGCATTGATCTGAGCTATCGGATAATTCCACAGAATTGAAGTTACTGACTCATCGTCGATGTTTTGAACTGTCGAAACATGGCGCTTCAACGAATCGATCTCATGGTTAATGCCCGTGATGAACCTATCTTCGATGGATTCAATAGATGATTTTTGCAGAGTTAGCAGTAGTAGATATTCGTTTCTGACCCTTGACGTCCATCGATTATTTGTGTAGGACGAAAGATTCGAATATGTATACTTACGGTTACAGAACTTGTATACATGAGATGTACTAAACATTACATTTTAGTCTTAGGTAAGTTTACGGTTCTTTATAGAAGCTGTATGGCTTGAAATTTTTCGTAACTTTCTTTTAACGTATAATTTAAAATAATTTTTTTTTAAATTTGTGAATATATTGTGATTGTGGATATTAACAATGAATAACTGTCTTTTATGTATTTCGTTGTATTAAGCAGAAGAGTTATGCGGAAGAAAAAACGATATTCTAATTTATTTGAGTTTTTAAAACAATTTAGGCAAAAATATTGAAACTAAAACAAGAATAAATCTCGATTGGTTATGAGAACATTTCCATCGAGAATGCGCACATATTTCCATTATGGTTTTACCTGTGGACGATCAATATTTCTATTAAAATCCAAAGATTATTTTAAAATATGTAGTGTACAAAAATGACTCTAGTGCCAACCTTCAATAAAAGTAGAGAATCATTCAAAAAATGAGGGTGTGAGTGTGAGTGAGAGCATGGGTGTGGATATAACTTTTTCTGAACACCGATATCCACATCCACATCCAAAAAAGTCGACTATTAAATTGAGCTAAGGAATGGCATCGATAATCATAGAATCAAACGTAAAAGCATATATTTAGGCTAGAATGTTTAAATTTATTCCATTCTTTTCATACAATGAATTTTCACAGATTTATGACTAAGAAAAAAAATTGTAACGGTTTTCTGCGTCAATTTGCTTGTTGTGTTACTGAATAAGCAATTACACCTATCTACGCTCTGTTTTTAAAAAAGTGAGAAAAGATGAGGAAAGATGTTTTGAATATAATTCATAATCAAAATAAAAAGCAGAAGATGAAAGCGTGTCAGAATAATTTTGGTAAGGTAGAAAATAATCTAATGTAAACGTTGGTGTATAAAATAATTCTACAATAAGGTATATTCATTCTGAATCCTTTCGATCGATCTTTCAATATTTTTTTCATAATTATGGCTACAGCATTAAGTTATGAGTCGCAAACACCAATTCTTCGTAGGCCGAGAAATTTTCAATGGTGTTGGAATTTATCTGATAACTTGCCAAACTGTGACCCAGAATCATGGGAAAAATACAGTGATATTGAAAATGAAATCATCGAAGACGCTTTCATGGACGGAAAAACAGAAGTTGAAATTGATGGCGATCGTTTAGTTGACTTAGGTTATATGCGAGATTACACAAAATCGGACAAGTCTAATGTACATTTTATCAAACGTTTTCCCTTAATCAAAAGTGAAGCAAATGCTTCACTGCGCACCAAACGATTTTCCACATCACTTCCGATACTTTGGGAATCGTCTGACGAAGAATTTGGCCTTGATCCACTAGTTCGACAGGAAATTCATAATCGATATATTAACCAGAAAGGCTGTGGTAACAAAACATTTTCGGCAGTCGTCGAAGATGCGGCAACGGGAATTATTACCGAAGGTACTGCCTTGGAAAAACAATGCGAAGCAGAATGGTTAGCTCAGCAATTATTAGCAGTAAAACATCATGGGACAGCGCCTAAACGAGAAAGTTTGGCTCTGCCTAAAGTGATTGGTGAAACTTGTATTTTCCTCTATACGCGAGATAGCTTTTGGTTCAAGTTAATAAATAAAGTTCTTCGCACTTCCAGAGAATTTATCGAAGAATATGTGAAAACTCTTGGTCCATTTTGTTATCTTTTGCATATAGCTTTGAAGGAACATGCAGATAATACAACAAAGATAGTTTATCGTGGAGTAAATATCAGTGATGCTGAAAGAGCAGAATATACATCAGGCCGTGAAATTCAGTTTTATTCGTTTGTATCGACAAGCAAAAATCGAGCTCTGGCAGAGATTTATGGAAATACTCTTATGATTATAGATTTACGGGAATATCAACCAGATGATCCAGGTAGCACTCCAGAGGTATAATTTTTTTGGTCAGCTGAAAAGCTGTAGAGAAACGAATTTCTTCTTTATTCCGTTTAGAAAATGCTCCGTAGCCGTACAGCTTACTGTGGAGCTTCAATTGCTCATCTGTCAAATTTTCCAGAAGAAGAAGAATTTTTAATATGGGGATTTGGATTGCCGGTATTTGTGATTAAAAAGTGTGAATATGATGCTACGAACGATAAACATATTATCTATTTACGCTTTTCAATGGATAATATTTATTGGTAGTTATGAACGTGAAGATCAATTTACAGAATGATGACTGCAAGGGAGTTTTGTGCGGATATTTTGAGCTAAAATTTACCTGCTATTACGATTTGTATGATTTGATTATTTGAAATAAAATTACGCGAATTTGACTTTTTGATATGTGACCAAAGCTGCTAGGTATAGTTTTTTTTCAACTAGTTTGTATATTCTATAACATGTTCTAGCGATTCGTTTGAGATTTCAAAAGTAGAGTAGATTTATTAAGAAGCCAACGTAGCTAACTTAAAACTTGGCAAGGTCAGAGCTTAAGTTTGGCTAAAATAAATAATACGCAATCGCAATCAGTTTTTGCAAACAGATTTGGAGAAATTTTGAAATAACCCATGGAGGGTCGTCACCATTATAAATTCTAATGCTAAGTGTGTGGGTGTACGAGAAGAGAAAACCCACGCCCATGCCCACACCCACACCCATCCCAAGATTATGGTCGATTTTGGTGATATGCCCAAAGCACTGTTACCATATGTATTGGCTCTCAATCATAGATTGCCAACAAACATTCAGGAGGCAATGATCAAGCAAGAAGCAGAACAATGAGCTCAACAAGCTTCTTCTATACCAAGCTTATTGTCACACCATAATGAATAACACATAATTTCCATATATCAAAAAAAAATATTTCCAAAAATAATTGATTGCATTGTTTTGAATCGATTGCCAGCGGCTCTATATTCATGAAATTAGCCTTGTTTAAAATACAACCTTTACTGAGTGTACCAAAAGTTTTGCGACATTATTTGTTTTGCATACATCACGGAATAGGTAAATGATAAAAATCTTGATTTTTTTTCAAAAGATACGCCTTGAAAA